CTCTCTCTCTCTCTCTCTCTCTCTCTCTCTCTCTCTCTCTCTCTCTCTCTCTCTCTCTCTCCTTACTCCCGTCCCTGCAGCTTCATCAATAAAACAGCTGACGACATCGACTTTTGTCTGTCTATTGATTGACTCTGGTGGTAATCTTTGAGAGTGGCGAGTGCCGCTAATTGCCCGCTTAATAGCAATTGCCCACTACTGCCACTACTACGACTACGGCCATTGGCTTCTGCTGTGCAAGTTCTGGCGCAAGTACTGCCAAGTAATTGCCACTGACAAGTAAATATATTTCAGTCGATGGCATCGCATCCTCCCGTCGACGCCAATTACTACGCCACTTGCGTAGTCACTTTCACTTCCCAGAGTTGCTCAGCTTTTTTGGGCTAGTGCCTTCTTTCGGTGGCGCAGCCCTTTGCTGTCGCTTTCAATTTGATAATGCCACCGTTCAGCAAAGGGGATTACAGTTTAAATTAAGTTTAACACGCGCTTGAGTTAGCGAGTGTGTGTGTGTGTGTGTGTGTGTGTGTGTGTGTGTGTGTGTGTGTGTGTGTGTGCGAGTGTCAAGTCAGCCCAGTGCAGATCGGAGACGATCTACTCTAATTGGAAAAAACTGCAATCCTGCCTTTTTGCTGCACTTTTTGCACTTTTTGCAGGGGCTGCCGGTGACTCCCTGGCGACGAGCACTCTGGCACTTNAGTGTCAAGTCAGCCCAGTGCAGATCGGAGACGATCTACTCTAATTGGAAAAAACTGCAATCCTGGCCTTTTGCTGCACTTTTTGCAATTTTTGCAGGGGCTGCCGGTGACTCCCTGGCGACGAGCACTCTGGCACTTTTCGGAGAAATCCGTCCACTTACCCGTTATGATGGCCAGTATTTTGGCGGCCTTTCGCTCCCTCTTTGACTCAATGGACTCCTTGATTGCCTTGGTCGCCCTGACCGCATTCTGGTGGGAGGTACTGCTGGTGTGCAGATGGTAATTGGAGGAGGTAGACGCCGGAGAGGAAGTAGTGTGGTAGCTGTCCACGGTGATGGCGTGCATTGGACGGTGATTGAGGCGGGTCATGGTGACCGCAGGCGAGGACGTGGCTGAGGACGGACCACTGGACAGCGTGGACATTCCAGAGGGACGAGGTTTGTTGCCAGAACTGCTGTTTAGCTGCTTGGAGGAGTGCACTGACAGTGGTGCTGGTGGGTGATGCTGCTGTTGGTGGATTTGATAGTTAGGCAGATGATTGCCGTTGTTGCCCTTATCAGCACCGGTCGATGTGGCGACCGCAGCGGCCACCGCCTCCACCAGACCACTGGCGCTGTTGTGGTGAGCGTGGTCGGTGTCCTGGTCGCCAACCGTCCCCTCTGAGCCATTGGCGCTGGGCGTCTCAGCAATGCTGCCATTTTTCTCTCCTTCCGTTGAGCTCATTTGATCGTAGGTGCAGCACTCTGTAGCACTGACGCCTTCAGTGGCGCTCTCCACCCTTGCCATGGCCACTGCCACCAGTTGAGAGGCGTCCAGGGTGACCATGGACTGGCACATCCCTCGACTCACACCGCCAACACCACCACCACCGCCATTTCCGTTGCTACGGCCCACCGTGGAGGAAGCAGTGGTGTTCACTAGCTGGTGCTCTCCACTTGGACTGTACACGGCCAGGTAGTTGACCAGCTCATGGCTCCGTCGACCACCGGTGCTGTTGCTGTTGTTGTTGTTGTTCTCCTCCAGACTGATTGAGCTGTTGTTGATGCCCATGATGGCTCTAGCTTTGCTGTTCAGTAGACCACCACCACCACCGCTACCCCCGCCACCTGCTCCTTTACTGCCGCCATTTCCCCCGCCATTGGCGCTGTTGTTGTAGTTGTTCTTCTTCGCTGCTGCCACCAGTGCTCCGGCGCCGGCCTTTTTGCCCTTCTCTGCACGAGTGCCCTTTGCCGGCACAAAGAGCCGCCGTTTGCCGGCAAGTGATTTCTCGTTTCCTGTAGTGTGTGGGGTGAAACAGTTTTAAAAGAAATGTTAGTTGAAGTGTTAGTCAATAAGGGAGTGCTGTTTTTAGTATGCTTCTTTTCTGCGACAACAAACACTAATTGAATGGTAAATCGATGAACAATAGGCATTTGTTTTTCAAAACATGTCGTGTTTACTGACTTTTTTCACTAAATCCAACTTTTCAAAATAATTTAGTCACTTATTTTGTTGAGAGTTCGAAAAGTTAACTGTTGTTTTGGTGCACCACAAAAAACAATGCACTTTGCCAGTGTTTGACGCTCAATTTTCCTATAGCTGATTTACATTTTTCCTTTCGCCACATCACTCTCTGAAAACATTTTACCCTTTCTCTCCTGTTTAACCCTCCTCATCTACCATGAAAAATAATTACTCAATCACTTTGCCGCCCAAGGAGGGCAGCTTTGTGGAGAGCACGTCGCTTGCCCTGTTGGGGGTCGTCTTTGCCGCCGTCGTCATTGCCTTCCTGGTCTACTACTTCTGCATCAGAGAGACGACGGGGGAGGCGGCGGCGGTCATGCCAGGCAGTGGCACACTTCAAACAGCCGTCGGTGGCTTTGGAGGCAAAGTTCGAAGCTGCTCGAGGATCTCCCCCAAAGCTAAGAGCAGTCAACAACAGGCTGGTGGCTCTCGAGCAGGTTCCAGTCAACAGAAAAGTAAGCAGACAGGACAGGCAACTCAGCCTAATGTCAGAACTCCGCAGCAGCAGCCTCCTCCAAAAAGCAAAATCAAGTCCAATCACCTGCAGCCCCCGCCGCCCTCTATGCTTGACAACCGTTTTGGCAAAATGTACTCCAAGATCCTCCTCGATGTGGAACTTGACCAGCCGAGCAAAGACGACATTGACGTAAAGTCGTACTTTGAGCAGGTGGTCAGCAAGCAACAGAAGCAGCAGAAGGTGGATGACAGGTCAAGGCAGAGCAAAAGCAAGGTTTCCACTGTCAAGAATAAGACTGCTGCAAGCGCCGGTGCCCGCCACAAGCCTAAATCTGTTGGCGGTGCAATTGCTGGCAAAAGTCATCTGAAGACGCATTCTAAGGTGCACAGCAAAAACCACGATGACCACAAGGAGGCGATAAACAGAGTCAAGAAATAGCAAAGGAAGAAACCGTCGTAAAACCATCAGACCAGAGTTGTGTTCAGTTTGAAAAAGCCATTTTAAACTGCATTTCTGACTCATCAGATGAATTATACTCATTTATTTGTCATAAAAATGTTTCTAAAAGTAAGTGCATAAAAGTTTGTGCTTATTCTCAAAGATAGTAATTGAAAAGCGTCCTAATATCAACGATCTAACTGCACCTAACTGAACAAACATTTGAACACGTGTTTGTTTTATATTCAATTGCTTTATTTTTTTAGAGTCTTTTTAAAAGTAGATCAACTGACAACTATTCCAAAAAGGGTGAATGGCATTCCACCAGTCAGCAATAAATACTAGTGTGTCAAGCATCAGTGTCATGCACGTGCCTGGTGCTACACTGCAAATTGATTCAGGACTAGTAGTAGTGAGACATCAACGGCCTCAATGGCATCATCGCCTGGCACTTTCATTGTTTGTTTCGGTGTGTATTGTTGTGTTGTTTGTTTTGCACTTGTTTTGTCTGCACACGCTGATCGGCTGCCATTTTCGCTACTCTGCATTTTTCTCTCCCACTGCATTGATTGTCTCCACCGAACACGTTGGTGCACTGCTCACTCAATGCGGTACACTAACTAAATATTTGCGCTGGCACAAGTGTCTGACTGGCAGACTCTGACTGATTGCCAGTCAACCAGACAAAGGGCTGCAGGCGAGTAGTTGACGAGGAGGCAGAAAAGAAAGAGAGAAAGAAGACAGGAGAAAACAGAGGCAATCACTACCGATATTACTACAACTGCAACTGTTTCAGTGCCTATTTTGCCGCCAACATCAGCAGCAGAAGCAGTAGCGTAGTTTTTCTCTAATGACTTCATAACAGCATCTTGATAGCAAAACACAAAAACGCTCGGCAGCAAGTTCAAAATGAGTGCACCGTTTTTACAACAAAACTGTAGCTACCGTTCGCTATTTTTTATTTGCAAAATCAAAATTGATTTTTTGCAGCATCTTCACCGTTCAGCTCAAAGCGCTTTTCGCTTAAGCCTCAATGTTGACCAGTGAAAAGAACCCTCCTCCTCTTTTTTGTGTGTGCTTCATTTGCCTCGTTATCATTTTGATTTTTTGTTATGAAACAAACAAAAAAGCACGTCACAGTTTTTCTCTGCCACCCTCTCAAGTAGATGAATTTGCTAATTTGGGTGCGCGTGAATGTGATTATCGATGCTCGGTGTGTGTGTGTTGTACTAATATTACTATTGTAGTGCCGGAAAGCATCCCACACACGGCAGTTCGTGCGTCTGTGTGTCTGCCTGAAAATAGCATCCTCCTCTGCCCAACAGCACGGTCTGGTGGTAATGTGCTAGGCGTTTACTTTCGATGACAAAACATTAAAAACTCATTAAAGACTCTTTCGACGGTGTGGCTGCCATTCACGAGAATGTCCTGCGTTGCTGTTTTTGCTGGTGGTGGTATGCTGATGACGCCAAGGACGAGATGTGTTTTCGGGGTAAACCGCGATGGCACAATGCAGGCGATTGCACCAGTCCTTTCACCAACATTGTCAATGAGAGCTTTGAATTTTTGTGTGTGGCAAATCTATTGGACAGTGATGAATGATGCTGCTGCTACTGTTGGGATGTTGTGTTGGGATGTGCTCACAGCAGCAGCATCAGCAGCAGATTGTGTCTCTCATCGTCTTGCAACTTTTTCACTCGTTTACCCTTGCCTGCTAATCAGCACGGCGGTGGCTTCCTTCCTTCATAGGGTGGTTTATTTATTTTTGATTTAATATTTATGCAAATTAATCAATGCAGCACATCATTGGAGCTCACAATGTGATTTTTATTAATAAAAAGAATACACACTTTACTTGACGACTACCATTAACACTGACAGTCGCTTAGCTGCTGTGCAGTGCAATGCAGTTGCACTGCCGTGGCTGGTGCCTACTGCTGATAAAGAAGGTTGATTTAAATTACAATACGGAAAATACCACAGAATAGACAGATGAGAAAGAGTGTGAAAAGAAGAGAAAGAGATAGAGAGAGAGAACGGGAAATTAATCAGACAGGCAACAACAGTGCACTGCACTGGCAAATTAGCATTCTCAAAGTCAAGTTTAGGTCGCGACCATTGCGCGGGCAAAAACACACTGTCGCCGCAATTAGTTTAACGACCCGAAGCGGCTAAATTGCCGACTTGGTAATTTAGCCGTACACTGTATCACACTGTTGCTACATTGACACTGCCGCTGCCGTTGGAGTTTCAGCTTCAGCTGCCTCGCATCAGCATGTCATCTCCATCTTCTGTCAATGTGGTTGATTTATCGATTGTCATTAAACACCACCACCACCACCACCACCACCAACATCCAACTCGTCTCAGCCGTTTCACACAAGCATGGTGATGTGGCCGTCAGAAGAACAGCACTGCTCAGACAAGCACGTTTTACATTTTGCAATTAACAGGCCAAAACTGCCTGCCTGCCACTACTGTTGCTGCCATTAGTTTGCCTACATTAGTTTGCCTCATGTTGCCTTCTGTTCTACTTGACTAATCAATCGCATTGCTGCCGCTGTAGAACAACAGACAGGCGGGCTGGAATACTTACGGAGATCGATGATTTTGGGATTTGCCTCCGAAGCTGGAGTAATCGTTTTTCCTGGCTTGTGGCGGATTCTCTTTCGTGCTACCTGTGAAGGTGAATAAAAAGAGAAACAAGAAAAGTGTAGGTTAGTTTCAGTTGCTATACGAGTCAATACGGGCAAATTAGTGAATTTTTTTTATGTGCACCAGTCTAATCAATAATGCAGGGCGCTTTGAATCTACAGTTTTGCCTTTAGCAAAAAAAGAAGAAAGAATGAGAGTGACTCAATTTGACTCCGTTCTGTTCTGTGCAGTCATTTTGCAAAGTAGATACATTTAATTTTAAACATTTTAAAAGTGGGCACAGTTCAAGTTAGCTGATAAAGCTGCTGTAAGAGTCACTGGGTGTTGGTGCCTTATCGACAGGCTAACAATGGCAGTGTGGTCCATCTATTTGAATAATTGATGGCAGTTAATCAATTGGCCAATTCAGCTAAATCGATAAATAAATCATTCCCGAAATTATAGCACTATTTGTTGATATCGCCGTTTGCTGGTTTGCTGGCTCACTGTTTTGTTGATCTATTTATTTTCGGCATTGCTAGATTGAATTAAACTTTAATGGATCACTGCAATCTGTTATATTGATGATTTGCCCTCTTTTGCGTGAAGGCTTGAAGTACTGGCCAAGCTTGGTGCCTTTTTGAAAGCAAAAAGCTCTCACAACGCAAATGAACTAGAAAACGGACAGAGCTATAGAAATTTGTGTGTGTATGTACTGACTAGCCTTAGTCTTTAGAAAACCCGGGTAAACAAAAAATCAGTTCAAATCAATAGTAGCGCATTTACTGGCCATTAACTCCTTGGCAGCATTTAGTTCCAATCGGTCGAGCACTTCTAGGTTTGCCACTCTTCTGACCGTTGTTTGCACTTTGGGATGTTTGCCTGTTCCTGATTGTCCGTCTGTCTGTCTGCCTGCTTGTGCGTTTAATTGACAAAACCGTTTGGTGATTTGCTGTCTGTTAACAGTAGTGTTTAACTGAAAAGTCTCTGTGTGTGTAGCTTCGTTAGAAATGTTCACACTGAATCGCAGTAATCTTTTTTCTCCCCCTCGTTCAGTTTGTGGTTGGCGAGCAGTCCGGAGTCCTCAATAGAGACCGTGTTGTCCTAATGTGCCAATTAGCTGAACGCCGTTGTGTATGAAATGCGCAAGAAAAGAGGAGATGGCAGATGAAAAGCGCGATGAGGCGTAACTAATTGGGTTAGGAGGAGGCACATCGAATGTGAAGAGTGGTCGGTGGCAGCACTGTTCTTCCATGAGATGCAAGTGAACAACAGACAAAATCAAGCACGGCAGCAATTTGATTTGCATTTGCTAGGCGCGACAAACACCAAAAGAGGGGAGAAAAAGTGTGATCTCCCCATCAAAGAGTACCACCACCACCAAACCTGGTGACAGGTTTACTCTCCTTCTCTCTGTTTTTTTGTTCTCTGGCACCACCAACTAACCACCAGCACTCACTTGTCGGTAGTTGTGTTTTCTTGCGGTTGTGCATGCAAAATTTAATTAAATGCCGCTCACTTGGTCGCAGTTGGCTGTGGTTGTGAGTAGCACAGCTGGAAGGCAACGACATTCCTCAGCAGCTCCTCACAATGAGCATACATACAACTGAAAGAAAGAAAGCGACATTCTTCTAAGTAAGGAGCGCCATCAATGCACTAACAATAGACGCACACACTCAACCGGTAGTGCGCTTTCTTCTCTCTCATTTTTTCTATGCTAATTTGGCCAAGTGTTTGCCGAGCAGTTTAATCCACGGACATTCGCTGATTTACGACCCAATGGGGTAAAAAGACATATTAAATTGACAAATTGAGCAGTGCACTTTCAGGCAAAGAGAGTGCTTTCTAAAAATAGTCCGGGGATTAAGAATAACAAGAGCACAAGGGTTCACCGGTCATAAGCAATGTCCTCAGTTTCAACTCTTTATGGTAATACTTACTTGGTAGATTTTCCAGTATAAAAGTAGGATAAATATTAAAGGAGCGTAAAAAGTTGAAATGGTAGCAAAAATTTGATAGCCAATGTCTTGTGAGATGAGGCACCGTTTCTCGTTGATGACACGCCGCTGAAAATCCGGATCTTTCCAACCGACCAGCGGAGCAATGGACACTATGACCGCAACTGTCCACACCATGAAGATCATGAAGGAAATTCGTTTTGGAGTGCGCTTGTGAATGTAGTCCACATAAGTTACAGCCCAGTACCGGTCCTATTAAAAAAATTTAATTACATGTGAAAGTTTCAGAGCTAATAGACATTTACTTCAGAAAAAACTGTATTTATTTGTTTTAAATTTAGTTGCACTTGGTTGATTAAAATTCTAGTCTATAGACTACTGCAAATGAACTTTGCTAATTTGTTCAATAAAATTTATAAATTCACTGTCTTTTTGTTTGTACCAAATGTTCATTTAAAGCTATGTAGTTTAATGCTATGTGACAAAAATATAATTTGATTAATTTTAATCGGAAGTATGAGCAAAATTACATTTCAAACTTGTAAAACCAGACAACTACAATAAACAAAACAGTCTTTACACAACAAAACTGTAGAATTCAACATAAAAACTTAATTAAGTTATTGAAATTGAATTTTGCTGACAATTACAACAATTGGCTCAAAGCGTTTTCAAGTCATAAATAACTTTTTGTTGCGGTATTTGCAACAAAAACAAATAAAACATTTTTATTGTTTTTGTACAGAAAGTTATTGAGTGTTAGAGATTAGCCGTTTTCTATTTGTGACCAACGTTATTTTGACAAAAAACAGTATAATTTTCACATTTGTTATGTGACGCAAACACAATGTTCAATTTGGCAACCAATTAAATGGAAAATAATTAGCGTAAGCAAGTAATCATAGCAGAAAAATAAACTAAAATTGACCTGACAACGGAAAAAACAATAAAAGTTCTAGCTAATCTAAGCACCAAACTTTTTCTAGTCAAGTATATCTTTGTTTGATCAATGGCAGTCGTTGGTGTGCCTCCACTTTCATCATCATCATTCAGTCAGCACACAGTGCCTGGTAATTGCTTATTGATTTTGTGGCAAGTTCAAACTTTAATTTGACCACTTTTATGTTCAGTTGTTCTGTTGTCTTTGCGTTTGGTGTTGTAATTAGAAAGCCAAGAAGAGGAAAAGGAAGTTCCCAATTCTCTAGTGGGGAAAAACAGTAGGTTTTTACCAAGTAAAAAGAAGCAACAGCAAAAATGCTATCGCCTGCAGTGCTGTTCTACTGGACAGTAGGCTCTTCGTTAGTGACCATAGTTTTTTTTCTTTTGGCCCCACATTCAATCTCTATGACCATTGTGAGCCAGCACTTATATTTAATTTCCATTTCAAAACACATCATGATCGCTGAAAGCTTCACTTCTTACTTCTCCGTGCCTCCGTGCGTCAGTGCATTTGTAGTACCTAAAACTTGGAATGTCCCATCTCTGTAATGATCTTCAAAACGCAAAGCATCTGGCTGTTGTTGCATTTTGGCACAGCAAAGAACACGTCGCAAGTGAATAGCTTTAAAATTGTCACGTTTGCTAATGTCCTCCTGCAGTGTTTGTGTGTGTGTGTGCGTGTGTGTGTGTGTGTGTGTGTGTGTGTGTGTGTTAAAAGTGTTGCGTACACTTTTTTGCAACTTAAAAAGTGTGTACGCAAAACTTTTCTTGCCTCTAATGTCAGTCCACTCTGCGTCTACATTCACTCCTCTAAAATTGAGTTGTTAATTGAACATTAGAGCACTGAATTTGTCCTGCGTATGCTGTGTGCGTATGCTGTGTGCTGTGTGTAATTTACATTCTCTTTTCTACTGGACAGAGTAGACAGCTAAAGAAGTGCGACACAGCTATGCAGCAACGTTAATTGAAATGCTCTTACAACCTAAACGTACATGAGCAAGTCAACCGGCAAATTGGAATTTATTGCAAATTGTTGCTCTTCAGAGAATCTGGTCTAGACTAGCGCTGAGCTGAATGCGTCGTGCTGGTCTGGTAAATGAAACTTGAACCAGTTTTTTTGGTAGTGTCTAACTGTGGATTGTGTTGTTTGTCTACATTTATAATTGAACACTTGAGACTTGAGATGTCAAGTGTTAGTACATATGTATCAATGTGTACTTTTTGTTAAAAATACAAACGAATGAAAAATAAAATTTTAATAAAAAACAAAAGAAAAAAACGCAAGCAACTTTTAGAAAAACGTGGCTTTAATTTAGTTTTTTATTTTATTTTTTATTTTTAAATCATTGTTGGCTTTTTAAAACAGACATATTTTTAAAACAAAATCCTTTTTAAGATCTTTACTAAAAAAGGTTGCCAAAAGCGCTAATCTAGTTTGTTTGTTTGTTTTAGCAGTTATGTTGTGTGCACATCCAATGATGCCAAGAGGAAAAATTCCCTAATTGAAAGTGACACAATTTTTTTTGGCAAATGCCATCAGATGTTCCCATTTGTAACAAGTGCAACTCAGTGCAGCAGTGGTCAGTTCTTGAAGCCATAAGTAGACTCCAGCAGTCTAGAAGACTCTAGAAATATGCTGCTAATGAGTTTCTAATTTAGAGTTAGAAGTTGCAAGCATATAGTAGAGAGAGAGAGAGAGAGAGAGAGAGAGAGAGAGAGAGAGAGAGAGAGAGTGCTGTGTGGCAAAGATCAAATCACTGTCCTTTGATTAGAACGACAGACAGAATGAGAAAGAGATCTTGTGATCTTGTGATTTACTGGTTTATTTATTAATAAAACCCTGTACCTTCTAGCACTACCATTGTAATGCCCAAATGGTCTGACAATGTTTTTTCATTTTTGTTTCCTACGCCACTGAACTTAGCCACTGGCTGTTTCGGTGTTGTTTTATTTCTTTTTTTACTACCTAATTGTGTGTGTGCGTTTTTTCATTATATGTTAATACTTTGACGCTTAATTAGATTGTCTTTTCCATTTCATTCAAAGCATTTTTCTGCTTGCCATTTTCATTTCAACTTTTTACTCTTTTTTATTTGCTCTTTTTGTTGCTATTGTTTGTTGTTGTTTGTTCGTTCATTTGTTCATTCATGTGAATTTCAGTGACTACTATGACGCCAGCAGCACTTCCTTAATTTATGTGTTCTTTCAGATGTTTGCAACAGTCTATTCTTTCTTTTGTCTCTTTTTTCCTCAAATCTCGCCGCATTTTCTGCGTTAATATTTAATGTCCATCTCTCAACCACCTTTCTTTTGTTTTTTGCAACTTTTGTTTTATTCTACAGTTATATTTTGTTTCTGATTTGCTAGCTTGCCCATTTAGCCGTATAATTTTTATTACGTCGCTTTTGCAACTGCCGATCTAATTTAATTTAACTCAATAACTGTTTTTAAAATTTTAAAGCTTTGTACTTATTTTTAATTGCTTCATTTGTCTTTGTTGTTATTGCACTTTTTCCTGACAACTTTATGGCATTCAATTGTAAAAAACTACTCATGCACAATAAATAAAAAATAACAACAATGTTGTCAATTTGAAAAAAGAGCATCAAGTTTGTGTGCACTCACCAGAGCAATGGCCAAAAGGTGCAAAATGGAGGCGGTGCAGCAGAGCAGGTCAAATGATGTCCAAATGTCGCAGAGAAAGGTGCCCAGTGTCCAGCTTTGCGTGATCTCCGAGAAGGCACCGAGAGGCATTACCAGACAGGCGACCATCAGGTCGGCCACCGCCAGCGAGAGCACCAGGTAGTTGCCCGTCGTGCGCAGGTTTCTCTCCATGATGATCGCCGCAATGACGAAAACATTGCCCACGATGGTCATCACAGTGAGGATGCCCAGCACTACCGAGGCAGACACCAGGAAGATGAGGCGGTTCTGGTACGGCTCGGTTGGACTGCTGCTGCTGCTGATGATGCTGCTAATGTTCATGCTCTCTGTGTCGTTGAGGCTGTCCATTGTTGCAGTGTTACAGTGCTAGGGTCTCCTTTCTACTAGACCACAACTGATGTTGCTCACTGCTGAGACTCTCTCAATGGCATCAATCGGCCCGTTTGTTGAGCAACTCACAGGTGCATCGTTCGTAGTTGTTGTTGTTTATGCATCGGATGTTGGTGTGCCTGAAAGTATAGAAATATGAACATGTTAGTCAAATGAGATCAAATTAGGTAAAATTATACGGTTATTTAAAAACAAAAAACAAAACCACTAATTACAAGTAGATAAAAATAATTTGCATTCAAACTCTGTAAAAATAACTAAAAACTGTCATTGACAAAATGAAGCAATTGCCAATGGCACGTTGTAACAATGTTGACACACACACACATGCACAATCAGTTCATCAGTATTGCCTCAGTACCGGTAATTGCAATTAGTAGTACTCACTACTACTTTTTAGTAAGAGCAGTAGTAGCCGTACAATAGTGTGTTTCATAACTTAAGTAGACCCACAACTTTTGCACTAGTGTGCTGCAAGCTTACGGCCAATACATGACAAAGCAACTGTAATCAATTTGCAAAGCTTTGAAATAGCAACGTTTAATGAAAGTTCAATCTTGAAACGCCATTTTGCTTGTGCAATTAATGAGAGCAAAAGAGTGGAAACAACCAAATATTTTTTTTGTTTCTTAGGAATTGGCCGCGTAAAAGCACATTTATATAAATATGAAGAAAAGCGAATAAATTGATCAGTGCAAAAAAAGTACTATTAGTGTTTTCATTAAAATGTAAAATGTTTCTCAATTATTAGTGCATTTGTGATAAAGCAATGGTCGGAAGTTTTTATAATGTTAAATTAATATTTAGTTTCTGATCAATATTTTCACTGACCACTTTAAAGCCAGACAAGCTAAAAATAAAAGAGAAAACCTCTGTTCTCAGAACAGTTGCACTTGCAGACTAGAGAAGTTGAAATTGATTTGTTTGGCTGACGTAAACTACTTGACCCGTCAGTGGCTCAAATTATCTGATGTAAACAGAAAATGTACTAATTGTGTCAAAAAAA